ATTTGATTTTTTATTCTCGTTAACTAAATTAATAAGTGTAGCTTTATGTGATGTGCGATAAGTCCAACACGATGTCGTTTCTGTAAGGTTGTGGGGTCCATATTCATCACGGAGTCTCAGTGATAGTAGTGATAGGGGAAAAAGTGATGAAAAATAAAGAAAAGCTTCAAATGGAAAAAAGAATTGAAAAAAAAAAGATACCAAGTTACCAACTCTTAATGGTGAAGAAATGAATTTGGTCTAATCGATCATTTTGCCGATTAATTATATAGCCTGTGAACTTTTTGCACACAAAAACAAAAAAATTTCAAATATAAGAAAACACTATATATGGTCAAATGTTTTTTTTTTCAATTGACTTTCTATTTTACACTGGTAAATTTGTTCGATTAAAATTGAAATTTAATTTCTCTATCATTTCTTTTAATATTTAGCTAGAAAGTATCAATTTGCAGTTTGAGAGATTTGCAACATTGTACTAAATAGGGTTCAATAAGGGTTCTTTCAATATCAATAAGGAGAACCTTTATTAAATTTTGATACTAATAATTTTTAATGTGTTTAACGCGGATCCTAATCGAGTATCATATAAATGAAGTTTTAGGTAATACAAATATTGACAACCTATAACATTGCTTCTTTGGCAAAAAAGAGATAAAAAACAAGAAAAGCATAAGAAAATACAATGTGATTCATGTAAGCCACAAAGACATCAAGTTGCCAAAATGTTTTATGGTTCTTCTTGAAGTGATGATGTTACGGATGCCCGATCAGCGCCGTGCCTAGCTATTTGGGGGTTTTAGGCGAAATTTGATGATAAAAATTTAATTTAAATTTAAACAGATTTAGTATATAATTTTTTTATAAAGTAGTATTTAAAATAGTGGATAAAATATATACAATTTTTTTTATAATAAGTAGTTTATTATATGTCAATAATAAATAGTTCATATTAAAACACTATTTATAAGATTGTGAAAATCTTCATCATTTTTGCTAATGTGAGTAGAATAAATCTAGAGTTAGAAACTAATTTAGTAACACAGAAAATATAAAATTCAATGGGTTCAAAAGTTATGCTATAAAAACTTTTG